TATCTCGGTAACGGAAAAGACCTGACAAGAGATATTTTCGAATTAGTCATGTCCTTATGCTAATAAGTAACTTACAAAAAAGATTTTTCTTCAACTCGTCTGCAAAAAAACTCCAGCCAAATCTATTTTGACTCCATATGTTTCCGATACTCCTAGTTATCGCTTTTCGATGTATGATAATGAAAAACTAAAGTGCGTGCATTTTGTTTACGTCAAATTTTTTAAATAAAACACTGCGACTTTTTTCGGAATCACTCATCCACTTATTTCTGACTTTGCAATTTTTCAACGTGTTTACGTTGTTTTTAGAGTATTGAGTGTTCTATGAGTGTTGAAAGAAATGTAATATATGCAAAGAAATCAATACTTACAATATATCGAATGACCATATGTATTTCTCCACAACAAGGTAAATGCATAGGTCCATGAAGGTGAACCCATTTATCAAATTTTGCTCCAGCGATTATTGGTTTTAAATCAATTTTAGCTGAACCAACTGACTGTTTACCCACAATATCTTTATCATACGCATGAACGTGAAGACAATGATGATGTTCAACATCAGGTAAATTTCTAAACAAACAAGAACACTAAAATTATTGTCATAAAGACGTATAGACTTACAGTAGAATTATTTCATTCCATGTGGGATATTCGGCGGTAGACACTGTTGTTGTTCGCTGTTTATAGTGTCTATCAATATAAACTTCAATATGAGTATCGTTGGGAACTCTACCATACCTTCGATTGTGTAAATTTCGTGCTTCAGTAATCGATATTTGAATTTGCCGATTCGTCATTCTTGCTTGCAAATATTTGTATACTGACGTAGAAAGTAAAGGAAACAAACATTTGAGTATAAGTCAGATAAATCAAGCGTGACTGATCGTCCTTGATGATAATATCAAATTATTTTTATTGAAAACAAAAGTTAAAAGTCCAGCTTTATCTATTTCTATTTATATCATCTGATCGAATGTGTTCATCTCTTCTGGATGATCTTTTAACATCGTTATATCAATCAAAAAGTGTTTATGTTAATTATAAATTAAATTATTCAAAACATAAATCACCTACGTAGTAAACGCCTACACACGATCATTCAGTACACTATTTTTCGTGTTCAGATGCAATGGTTTACATTTTACTCATTTCTATAATAGATGCATTACTCATTCAGCATAATGACGTTTGATTATCTAACTGAATTAACGCACTCTCGGCCAACGTCTGAGTGTATGGGCATAAAACAAACGATAGAATAAAGAATCATGCTTAACAGCCTCTGTTCTACTTTTTGTGACTTGAAATCAACTCATTTGTAGATTGTTGGCCTAGTAATGGTCTCTCTCTTACGAGGAAACTCTTCCAGATGATCTCCCGCTTTTCTTCGAAACAAACTTCATCATGAAGTTTGTTACGAATTAGCTATATGAACCAAAACTAAGAATTAAAAATAATCAAAAATAAGTATTAATTTATATCCTTTATATAATCAATTTCGTTGTCTATTTTTGATTTCAGGTCTCTTTTCTTGCATTGTATTAACTTTCACCGAAAAATTTCTCGCAAAGATTAGTTCGACTATCTTGATAAAGCTCTAGTGTTACTCGGACTAAATAAAAATAAATAATTTAAATTTTCATGGGAATTAAAGACCAATAGTAAAAAATAAACAGTGTTTCGACAAAAGTCTGAAAAAGATACTCAAAATTTCCAAGACATGGAGTGAATATTTATCGTCTGCTCTATACTTTTCTGACGAACTTGTTTATAGTCCTTCTCTTTTGATCTGTATACTTTTCGAGGGCTGAAATAATCAAATTACTGACTTTATTGCACGATGTTTTACCCGGTTTTTTCTTTGAGAACATGATGCAAAAAAAGGGCATTGTTTAACTCATAATGAGTAAAGGTTATTTTAACGGGGCTCTCGGGAGTAGTAGTTTTAAAAATCGGAGAAACTTTCCAAAATTTTTTTCGAGTCAGAAGTTTTGTGCACAAATGTTTGCTCTATCAAATAAGACGTCGCAGTCTTTCTCAGGGTGGTTCGTAGATGAGATATGAGTTATTTTGCTGTAAATTAGGACCGGTTATAATCGGCGACGTCTTATTCGGTAGAGCAGACATTTGTGGACAAAACTGCCAACTTGAAAAATTTTTGAAAAGTTTCTCCGATTTTTCAAACTGCTACTTCTGAGAGCCCCGATGAAATAACCGTTGCATACATGCATTTGTCCTTTGCGCTCAAGTCTATTTGTGTCGCACTTGGCCAGAATATTGTTATTAGGCTTTTCAATAATTATGCACGAAATTCCATTTTTTTTCGCAGTATTTTTGACAAAAAGAAGCTCTCCGGAAAAAGTTTTTAGGCGTGTCAGCCATCTTAAATTCCTATTGGTTAGCGTACAAAACGAATAAAATAGGTGTACGTAGCTGCAAGCGCTTTTATGGTGGATACTAGTAGCTTTACGCGCCATCTTTTAAAAATACGAAATTAAAAGCTCCGAGCGACAGATTTTTGCTAAAAGCGCTTTTTAAATACTCTATGACTTACCTAGACACTAGTTTTCTCTAAAATATTGGGAATATTTTCCACCCAGTTTTCATATGAATCACGAATTTGATAATCATTCTTTCCTGTGTGTGGGCCACACACATTTTAAGAGTGCCCTGTTGTCGGTAGGAGGCTTTTCCCGAATATTATAGAGCATTTCTGAGTTACCCATAGTTTTATCCATAAAGCAAGGTAGAGTTTTCTAGAACTGGGTGGGACAGAGGTCAATATCAAATGAGAAACATTTCTTTAATTAAATTAGAAATAAGTTAACTGTGCAAAAAAGTTATAGAAAATACTCACTAGAGTCACCTTTTGATTTTCATAATAATAGAAGTAATATAATAATGCTAAAATTAATCAGGTACGCATTACTACTTTACAGTAAGTCAAAAGATAAGATATGCCGGTGAATACAATTTTGTGATAACCTCCGATAGGACTATCTGTGAGGGGTTCTGATGCGTTTTGTACTGTTGTTATTCAAAATTTGATCTAAAGAGAAAGTGAACAGAAAATTCTTCTGATGTTATAGACTAATAGAGTATACCTGATAGCCTAAGAAAATCTATATTTGTAAACTACTAAGTTCTTGTTTTCAAAATTTCATTTATTCAAGTTTGGAGCCGGACCTAATGAAAAAACCTTTCATCAGCTTCTTCAGCCAATAATTGACTAAGGCCGCAAATGCAATCAGATATAGGTTTTCCAACACGCTCTATCTGAATGGCATGCTTAAGAGACCCTTTCAGGTGAGTTTCTGAATCTAGTCTCAGGAAACCACGGTTTTCTGAAAAACCTATCCTGTGAGGTGTTGAGAAAACGAAATTGCCCATTCGTTTTGCCTCACAGAGAAGCCTATATGATGAAAGTTTGACGCGGTTTGAGTTATGCTTTACGTTTTTTTCCTGTAAGCTGAGACAACTAATGGGTATAAGACATTCAGCATATTCTTCAAATATTCCGCTTCAGAATTGACCTCAAGTCGAGATTTTTTTAACACAAGCTTTGCCCGAGATATTACACATGTGGGAAAATGTATCACCTTAACTACGTATACTTTAGCGAGGGAAGGGGTATGTGGGTAGGATAAATTGAGTGTCAAACACAGCTAGGTAGTAGTAAACCACATTTTACGAAAAGAAGTAAAGAGCTAGCGAACTGCAACTTTTGTTAGTTAATTTTGATGCCGAAAACGATGTAAAAAAATAGCAGATATAAGACATACTTTTACGTAATTTAGCAAAAGTGGGTGGGACGACGGATTTTGACTTTTTAAGGGCCATGTTTTGTAGCGTCATTTCTGCAAAACAGGAAAGAGGTCGCGCAAAACCGAGCCCGTAGATCGATAAAGCAGAGCAAGCACTATATAAACCGAAACAAAATTATAATTTTGTCGTTCTGTGAGGTTCAAAAGCGTGACTTATAAAACAGAACAGGCGAAAATCACTAAGAAAACAAGGACAAAAAAGAAAGTGTTTTGTGTGTCACGCTCACAGGATTGTGTGTCACGCTCACAGGATCCCAACGGTTAAAGATAAAGCAAAAATCTGCAAAATGAGCTATAAGCAAACAATCTTGTCGAGAAAAATGCCTATAGAGAACAATACATACTGAAAAGTTCTAATGAAGCTTTTTTACGCGAGAAGGATTTCTTAGCTATAGCGATTGCGAGCCACTAAACAGTAGTGTTTGGGCGGTTGACGCACCTTCGGGCAACGTTTTTGACCAGCGTGAGGTCTCGCGCCGATGGAAAGCTTTGAATAAGAGGCCGTAATGCGTCTTAATAATGGTATAGGTTCAAATATTAAAAAGTTTATATCTCTATCAAACTAATCTGAATGTGCTCACGAAAATTCGTCAGAATTTTAGGACATATCTAATTTAGCGATACTTCCACCCCTTACATACTTTCGTGACCGCTGTTGGAAAGCGGAGAAACCAATGTCCGATCGAGCTTAGATTTTTGCTGGAGATACTTCAGACACTATCACAAGTTGTAATTCTTGAAAAAAATATGCTTTCCTTCTCGAACCGTTCGAAAAATGAAAAGTCCTATTAAAAATTTGGTTTTTGACTTTTAAAATCTTCTTACGGAGAAATCTGAAACTGATAACGCTTAAAAGAAATTTAGAACCTGAGATAGGGTCTGACGTGTCTATAATAAAAAATTTGAAGCCGACCGGATCAGTTTTTCAATGATAGCGAAAAGATACATTGAGATAAACGCAAAACAATGTTGAAACTGTCAGTGGAAACCTTTTTACGGAACAATTTTCAGTTTTCAGATGGAGAGCCACTGTCTGGAAGCCGCAATTCACGCCTCAGGCCGTATATGGCGATAAGACCTTTGCTTTATCTTTAACCATTGTGGCTCTGTAAGCAAAACACTTTCTTTTTTTGTTCTTTTCTCGGCTTGTTTTCTTAGTGGTTTTCGCATGCTCTGTTGTATAAGTCAAGCTTTTAACCTCGCAGAAAGACAAAATTACACATTTTGTTTCGATTTATATCCAATAATCTATAGAGCAAGTAGTTTTTTCTAGAACTAGGATAAAAGTTAATGTGAAATAAGAGAAATTGTTTTTTATGGAAAAGTAGAGAGGCAGAATACTTCGAAAGTGGGCAACATTGAACTTTGCAGAGTTTTTTTCAGAAGAAGTTAATATATCAAACAATATTAGTACTGTGTTCTTGAGAGTATATTCACTCATCTTACTTATAGCACAAGTGAAGTATGTATGTTGAATAAAGGTAGATAGTCAAACAATGTGTGCTTCTACTAAAATAAACAGATAAATATAAAATGCCAGTAACATATAAAATTCAGTTATATCTTTTCATATTTGCATACTAGTTAAATACGAAAATTTTAACCGTGCAAAAAAAGTTGTAAAAAATACTAACTACACTCACGTTTCGATTTCATAATAATAAAAGTGATACAATAATGCTGAAATCAATCATGTACGCATTACTACTTTATAGTAAGTAAAAAAGTAAAAATATGTCTGTGAACAAAATTTTGTGGTAACGTCCTGTAGTACTATCTGTATCTGTATTGATTTGACATTTGGGATACAGAAGAACAAAATTATAACTTGTCACTGCTACGCGCAAACAGCATCGTAAACTCGGTTAGATAGCAAACTTGGACCATAAGGAACAATAGCCCACGCTATATTGAGCTAGTGACACACCGATGATTCATTAGTTCGGTCAGATACGGTCCTTATAGGCTAATGT